GGTTGTGTCGCATACATTGCATTTTTGAGATGGAGCTTATGCTCGTTGAGATGACATGTATTGGCGAATTTTGAGATGAAGGATATGCCTTGTTGATGCCTCTATTAATTGGCAAATTTTTGAGATAGGAGTTCTGCTCCAATGGTACCACATGCATTTGCATAGTATTGAGTCGCATTATATGATGGCATAAAGAAGTGTATTTTGATGTTGATGAATGTGTTTATACATTGTAATTATTGTTGATTATGAGATGAGAAGTGGTGATGTTATTAATCTAACTTAATATATTAATTATCATGCGCTTTATTATATTGTTAGATATCTCACCCCTTCTGTTTAAATGTTGCCCTTATGTTGGTAACGTGCAGGTAATCGAGAGTGAAGAATGTATACCTTCAGTAGTTTGCATCAGTGTCATTGCTCTGATATGTAACACTCGGGGGAATGAACGTTTGCTGATTTTTGATTGTTGATTTTCAGTTGTTGAACTTTAAATTGATTATTATTAGATATGAGATGTTTCGAAGTTGCTGTTTTATTAGAGATGTTATTAAGAATTCCGCTGCATAGATGTTGAATTATTTGATTAAAGATGTTATGGTGATGGTTCATTCGATGTTTTGAAAAGTGTTATATATCAACGATGAATGCAATGAATTTGTTAGAAGAATTTGTGATGTCCCAATTCGTTTGCATGATTGAATTTTTATAACTCTGATTTATTTTGCATAATTGCTTGGGGTAGAATTGGGGTGTTACAATTTGTCATCACCCTATTGGCTTATTTGAATACAGCGCGCGCAGTTTTGTTTCAGCTTCATTGAAGTTGTTTTACATATTATGTATTATTCTTATTTCATTAACAACTAATCAGCGTAGCCCAGCTGGAAAAGGCGTCACTTGGTAAGTGAGAAGACCTGGGTTCGATCCCAGGTCCCAACAAATTTCTTTATTTTCTCACTTTCCACTTCCAGATCTAATGCTTCCCAATTTCACGCGTGTACCTTGCACCTTTACATCCAACCACTTGATCAAGCATAGTATCAAATCCAACGCATATCAATGAGAGACCATGATGCACCCTCAAGTCAACATTCCATGGGATCAGGCACGTTGACTGGGCTCAGCATTATTGGGCCAGGGAAATTCAACAATATACCCCCTCTTTCAGCAATGCAAACATGCCCAGATTGTTCTTCTTTCTATTATTTTTTTAATTTCTTTAATTATTTTCTTTAATTGTTTTCTTTTTTTTAATTAACACAAAAATTATTTTTTTATTAAACTAAAAAATCACAAAATACAGAATTAGGTCTTATTTATTCAAATTAATATTTTTGAAAATAAATTAGGTTAATTAGTTTTATTTGACTATTTGTTTTAATTAAAATTAATTAGAAATTAGGTTTTAAATTTGTAATTAAATTGTTTTCTCAAATTAAAATCACAAAAACATAAAAAAATCTTTTTCATAAAATATGTTATTTTTCTTTAATTAATTAATTAGGTTAATTTCAATTTCTTTTTATAATTAAAAGTAATTAGAATTAGGGTTTTAATTGTACATAACTTAATTAATTTTTTCCTCAAAAAATAACTTCAATATTTTTTCAATTAGATTTTTAGGTTTTTTTAACCATTCTCGGATTTAATTTTCCGCGCGTATTTTAATTCCTTTTATTATTATTGTAACTTCTCCGGGATTGTAATAGTAATTAGAGTTTTAAACTTTCACATTTTTATTTTCAGTCGAGATAATTATGTAACTGTCGAAGCCTTGTAATAACTAGATTTATCTTCTCGCACTTTAATTTCCGCAAACTATAAACTGCTTCGATGTATGTTAATAGGATTGTATGAGAAGATTACTTGAAATTAAAACTGTAGATCACCTAAATGTGCAAAGATTAAATAACTGAAAAATTCACATGCACATATTCACTCCTAGGGTTTACCTCACTTCGGTTGCCTTCGATAAAACAGTCATTTAAGCATAGGAGATTTTAGTGGTTGCCCTCCAGTCTAAAAGATCAAAATGTCCCATTCGAATGTTGCCTCGAAAATGTTGCCTCGGAAAGATCTTTAGGACTCTAGGGTTACTACTAAGGTTTTCTAACTATTGCTTTAGTGACTGTACTTGTCCCTTTCGAATGTCCCTTACAAACTCCAACGATGGGGCTACCTACTCCTTAATAGTAGGATAGCGCTGTCTAAAAGAAACGAGAACAAACAATCTTTTTTCGAGTAGGTAGAATCTTAAGTACTTGCTTAACAAAACTTTTCACACCAACACTTTTCAAAACAAATTTTCAAAACAAACTTCGTCACACCCTTGAGGACTGATACAAGGGTTATCACGAAGTAAAACATGTTCAAAACAAGCACACACAAGCAATTTGAAAAATGAGCAAGTACCTAAGAGTCCATGGAAAACCATGGATAGAAAGGGTGCTAACACCTTCCCTTTCCATAATCTACCCCCCGTACTCAGAATATCTCGAAAAAAAGTTTTTTCTGTTCTTTTTCCTTTTTCATGATTGGATGAAATAAAAGTCAGTGGCGTCTCTTGCTTACCGCGATATTTTGCGAACAAAAAACGCAAAACGCAAACCAGTAAAAACAGTCGGTTTTGCCACTGTATCACACTTACCATTATAAATAAAAAATTTCTTTTTTAGTTTATTATATAATTTATATATTTAATTTTATATAAATCAAATATATCAACTATTTAATAAATTTAAAAAAAGAAAGATATTTGTTTATAATAATGACTAAAAAAAGTATAAAAAAAACAAACTTGACTTTGCAGCCTAAGAAACAAAAGGACACATTTGCATGTTCATGAAAATACATATCATTTAAAGTTTACGATGACCAGGTCCAATAAATTTAATGAGTCTAGATTTTATTTTCCACATTATATAAATAAAAGAAAATCCAATTTTTCTTATTCAAAAAGAAAATTCAATTAAGTTAAATAAAAACTCTAAATATTACAATATATATCGTCTAATATATAATCCAAACAAGCACTCTTAACAAAAGTATATATAGAAATTGTACCAATTTTTTTTTTTTCGATGAGAAAAACTGTATCAAATTCAACAATTTGTGTTTTTTACTATTCATTGGTCAACACATAATCAATTAATTATTTTACTATTTTCTTTTGGGTAACAAAATAGATCCGACTCAATTATGTTTTGCCTTCACTTTTTTATGGAATTGTGCTAAGATTTTAGGTTAATCTCAAATATGATATTCATGCTCTATTCTATTTTTTTGCCGATTTTTCTGACATAGATTTTTACATAAAAAATTTAGGTCTAAAAGAAGTAAACTCCGTGGACATTCTGTCTCATCCTCATTTTTTGTAGAATAAACTAAAATTTTAGATCTATGCTTTTAACTATATTCGTCTTGTACCGTCTCATTTTTTACAGATTTTTACGAGAGAGACATGTCTATTTACCACCTCTAAATTTAACTCATGCACTATTAATATTAACACATATTGCACTGTCATGCAATATTGTTGGTGCATGCATTGTTATATTAAGAACATATGATACTACCTCTGCTGTCCATGTGTAAATTTAACAATGCATGTGTTAGGAATAATGATGTATGCTTTTAAAATAACAATGCATGTAACATTACTGTATGCGTCAATGTTAATGGTACTTATATGACATTTATGTATGCGTTAATGTTAATGGTACTTATATGCAAATTTAAGTTTATGTACCAATAACATTGGAGCATTCTCTTTGTGAACTTTATTTATTTATTTGAAAATAAAATAGATTGGTAGATTATTTGAAATGTGAGTTATTGATTTTTTTTTTAAATTGAGTTATTTCAAAAAAAATTCCCTTATAATGCTAATTAGACCACTTAAAGATAGACTCTCAAATGGCCACTCAAAAAATAAGAGAGAAATAAAACACTATCAATTTAAAACACAAAACACAATATTGTTGATAGCACGCACTTACTTAGGTCGAATTTATGATAACTATCAATTTTAATGCTATAATTATATGTCAATAAAACACATGTTTAATAAAAGAAAATGGAATGGTAAAATAATATATTAATAAATAAAAAATAATTAACAAATTATAAATAATTCTAAAACACAATATATTATAAAATATTATCAAAATATAAATAAATTTAAAAAACAAGTAAAAAAAATCAATGCAGACATATAAAAGCATTCAAACATTTAAAAATCAATCTCTAAATTTTTTTATTAGTTCATACTACAGAGATCACCTTCAACAAATTAGAACCCATTTAAAAAACAACACATAGTATGGAAATTTAAAAATAGAAGAAAAAATTACTGTTTTGTTAAATGATAATTAAAAAATAATACTACATGAAATTTTACAACACATAATTTAATCTTAATCAGTCATATTTCTATTATGTTGACATGTCCAAAAATAAATATTTAATTATATCTTATAATATTCTAACAATTGAGTATAAAAGAATAAAAAAAATTAAATGCAAATTTAAAGTACTTTTGACTGATACATTTTGTAATAAAGAACTTGAATTATTTATATAGCTTTAAACTCTATTTTCCTAAGCGATGTGAAATTTGATCAACATTTATATTTTCAACCAATACCAATAATCTCTATCTTGATTGAAAATAATACATAAGTTTTTATTGTCTTCATCGAGAATCATAGTTTAAAGATGATTTTATACACCACCAAAAAAAGTACAGTCGTTTAAAATTACACGACTCCAAGAATTTTTTTCACATTGTTTTCACCGACAATCATAATTCAAAAACTATAATACTCTACCATGAATATTATATTTCACTTAGAGCTAAACCACTTCAAGAATTTCACATATCGAAAATCGGATTGATAACTTATGGTGCAACCTCCATGATGATTGGAAGCTCTCAAAACCGCCAACATAATATCATAGTACACATGGCATCAATGTCAATCAATATTCATATACTAACCAATAATCAATGTTTTGTGTAATCTTGATTGTATTAACATATCTCTGACTTGAATTTTCCACTGTTAAAAAACAATTCTTCCATTAATTTTTTCTAATCCAAACTAAACAAAAGAAATTGTGACTGCAACTCAACAACTTTTTCACAACACCTCATTTCTTTTCTGATATGGAAGATCAGATAAAGCTGCAACCACAAATTATACTAAGAACTCATATATTTAAATTGAACCAAAAACTTTGATATCAATTACTTTCTCTGGTTCAATTTATAAAAGACAATTTACTTTTTAGATTCATTGAATAATCAATGCATTTGGTCTATTATTAAACCAATTATATTGATTGTCGAATGAATCTAAAAAGTAAATTGTCTCTTATAATTGGAACTAGGTGGTATTAGAAAAAACTGATAAAGAGAAAATAAAAGAACACAATTACAATACAATGACATAGCATGAAAATTCCAAAATCAAAGAAAAAACAGAGAAAAATTCACGACTATTATCAAATGATAACAAAAAAATAATATTACCGGAAAATTATTACAACACAAAATCTATCATCAAAACTAAACAACAACTAAAATAAGCAATAAGTACCTCATCTCGGGACAACATTAAACCACCTATATCAATACGAGAACAGCACCTCCAATCAAAACAACCACCTAAAAGAAAGGAAAAACCCCCTAAAACATAAGTCTCTATCACAGAGAATACGTTAGTTAGAGCCCTTGATTAAGGATCACCGTCAACACGAACATAATCCTCTCAAAAAACAGGAAAGAAATTCCAACTCAAACGGGAGAGAACATTGTTTAAAGAAAGATTTTAAAATGACTAAAGACAAACAAACAAAAGTGATATATTAATAAGTAAGAAAAACATATTAATACATGTGTACAAGGATTAATTTAGGGTTATCCACAAATCATGTCACGATACCCATTAAAAAAATGGAAAAATCAATTAAAAAAAACCAGAATCTTAGTAGTTAAACCAGAATCTACAAAAGCCAACAAGATCCACATGCCAAGTAAAACATACCTAGCATGAACAACAAAGAAAAATATTAGTTATCACAATTTGTGCGAGAGGACCATCCTATCATCTCTATATATAATAATGATAATATATAGATAGAGGACAGAAATTTGTACGAAAGAAAAAGAAAAAGGACAAAATATAAAGAAAAAAATGTAAGCTTCTCTTTAAGATCTGCACAGTAATCATGGCTACTTCGACCAAGATAATAGCATGCTTTATTAGTGATAATTCTTAGATTTGTTTTGGTTTAGTTTAGGTTAGAGAAATTTCCTTTCCAGCACTGGAAAGTGACAGAAGAGCATGAGAACATAAAAACAATAATATAGACACTATATACCAAATGCTTCTTTGTGCTCACTCTCTTCTGTCAATTTCTATCTACCATATTAAGATAATTATACCAAAACAAGTACATAATACAATAGAAAACACACTAGATATGGAAACTTAAAACAAGAATAAAGTGAAAAATAACCGTAACTGAATCAGATCTGAGGAAAAGTAACATACCTGTTAGTGGAATAAAATGAAACATACCAAGACATTATAGCTAAAAGAAGGAGAGAAAAACAGCATATACATGTTCAGAAATGAGTTGTTAAAAAAACTAGTGTAATGAAAAGTAAAGAAAATAAGCAAGACAGACACAAATTCCAACCAAATCCTTTTGTTTTTTTGGACACACAGAGAAACACACTGTCTCTCTCTCTCTCTCTCTCACTCTTCATCCGTAACTGTGTCTGTTGATGAGTTATGATGTGTTGTTCACTCAACTCAAGAGAGATACATGCAACACGTAATCAGATCTTGTTAGACTGGTAATGATATATGTATATGAGGTGTATGTATGTAGACATGAGAATACTGTTTTTGTAGATTCACTGAATCAAAGCAGGTATATAGGGTAAGATATTTTGGTTTGGTTTTACTTGACCACAACCAAATATGGAGATTGGAGATGGAACAGGCTTTTGTGTGGCGTGTGAGAGAGGTCAGGAAAGAGAATTCTTAAATCATTTTTTCTTTTCTAACTTGTGAGGCCACCAATACTATATCATTAATTAACCACAACTTCTATTTCTTTTAAATAATATTTATAGGTCTTTTAATAGCTGTAACTTTATGCACAATCTTAATCTTAACATGCTTGTGATTTTACTATAATCTAGTATTACATTAACCAAAACAGATCATCTCCTACTCCTCTCTCATGATTTTCCTGCTCCTCATAATTTTAGCCATTTATGTATTAATTAGTAAACTATATTTGAGGTGTAGGCACAACTTGCAACTTGTCTTGCTTAATTTTAGAATTGATACACTTAAAAAAATATTAATACAACAAAGTTGTTCTCAAGATAATTCTCCATTAAATTATTTAAGGGTCATTATTATTTAAACTTACTTAGTTTTTATGATCTTCCACTTTTTTTGTTGGAGTTAGTTAGGTGTCTAGGAGTTAGACTCAAGGTTAGAGTGGGAGGGACCTTGGTTTGACATTCAACGTTGCGGGTTCATTGGAATCTTAATTTCTCTGGTTTAGCATTTACTATGAGTTGATAGATTGAGCTATCTTTTATTATTGGATTTGGTACATGGGGAGGACTTCCTCAGATATGTATCCTTGTTTATGGGCTCATTCATAGATGTGTCTGACTATTATTTGCTTGTTCTTAAGTATTCATTCCAACCTTGTGAGCCTAAGTCGTTTCGGTTTAACAAGTATTGGTTGGGTAATCTAAATTTTGTTGAAGTGGTTCATGCTTCTTGGGATGCTCCTTCGAAGGTGAGGGGGTGGTTTGTTCTCTTAAGGATAAGTTGAAATCTTTCAAAGATTCACTTAAATTTTGGAATAAAGAGGTGTTTAGTAAAATAAAGTTTAAGATAAAGAAGTGTGTGGATAAGATTGAGTCTTGGGTGCTTTGAGCTGAGTTAATTAGAATCTCTGACTTCGATTGAGTTAATTGATAGGATAGGATTTTGAAACAAAGTATAAATTGTTTCTTTATGATCAAGAAACACACAAAAGTAGAAAAGATGGAAAAATAAGAAGAACAATAAGGATTAATTATAACTGTTATTCTTTACTTTCTTTTAAAACATGATTACAAGTACACAAGAATAACAAATAATCCTCTCACTCTAAATTAGGATTTGCAGTATGCAATGATGAAAGACTAGTATGTTATTTATAATAAACCTAACATACTAAACTAATAGGTTTTTTTCACATATACCCATTACAAGCTAACTTAAACAATTGAACATAACAAACATGGCCCAATTCGAAATACTAACAACCCTAGCATTTCGACACCCACATACTAGAACACACTTTGACTACAGTATGTAGGTCTTCGACACTAGCATCTGAACATACTTCGACGACATGCATAAATCCTGTCGAACCAGAAACTACTCTTCGACCCAATAGAGTTCGATCCAATATCTCACAAATCTCCACATTGGAACAAACTCTAATATCAAAGAACAATCTAGCTTTCTTCATGCAGCTTTATCAACTGCATACAGTGGAAAAACTTACAACTTGACAATGTCTTGGTGATCATATGAGCATCATTGTGATCTGTCGAAACCTTCAGCGCTTGGACTTCTTCACACTCGATTATTCCTCTAACAAAATGCATCCTCACATCAATGTTCTCGGTTTGCTCATGATAGGCTTAATTCTTCGGCATGTGTATTGCACTTTGACTATCACATTTAACAGTGATAACTCGACCTTGAAGTTTCAGCTCCTTAGCAAAATCTTTCGGCCACAATGTTTCTTTCACAGCTTCAGTTAAGGCAAAATATTTTGTTTCAATGGTTGATAATGCGACAACCTTCTGAAGTGTTACTTTCCGACGAATTGTTGTCTCAAACATAGTGAAAACATATCCAGAAATAGATTTTATATAATTCATACAACCTGCATAATCAGAGTCGACATATCCTTCGATTACTGCTTTACTATCTTCTCCCAAGGCTCCACCATAAATTAGGAATCTGTTCAGAGACCCATTTATGTATCTTAGAATCCACTTCAATGCTTTCCAGTGAGCCTTTCCGGGTTTCTCTATGTACCTGCTTACAAGACTTACTGCATATGCTATGGCATGTCTAGTACAGACCATAGCATACATCAATGAACCTACTATATTAACATACGAGACACTAATCATATAAGCCCGTTCGACCTCAGTACTGGGATACTGATCTATACTCAGCTTAAACTGTGTGTTTGTTAGAGTCACAACAGGCTTTGTATTCGACATACCAAACTTGTCGAGAATATTCTGTAGGTATGCCTCTTGAGATAAGCATAATTCCGACTGCTTTTCATCTCTTTGGATGTCAATCCCAAGAATCCTAGATGCAACTCTCAGATCCTTCATGTTGAACTCCTTATTGAATTCACCCTTCACTCTCATTACATCTTCAACATTGTTGCGTGCTATGAGAATATCATCAACACAAAGCAACAAAATAAAAAATGAATTACCAGGTCGAAATCTGAAGTAAACATTATGGTCGAACTAGCTTCCAATGAAACTTTTGTGCACCATGAACTTGTCGAATCTCCTATTCCACTTTCGAGGAGATTGTTTCAACACATATAAGATCTATTTAATTTGAACAAATAATCTTCCTTTCCCTTTTCGACGTTCATATTGCCTCGTCAGGATTGTTTCATTTAGATCACCATACAAGAACACAATCTTCACATCCATTTGTTCCAGTTCAAGGTCGAACTGTGCCACCATATCAAGCAACATTCGAATGGACATGTGCTTCACAATAGGAGAAAACACATCATTAAATTCAACACCTTCTTTCTGAGTGACACCCCTTGTAACCAACCTTGCCTTGTATCTTTTCGACGCCACTCCTTTGATTCCTTCCTTAACTTTGAAAATCCTTATACAACCGACTAACCTGGCTCCAGCAGGTTTCTTGATTAGTTCCCAAGTGTTGTTATCATGAAGAGATTTCATCTCATCATCCATGGACTTCAACCATTCAGTCTTATTTCGACTCCTTATAACTTCCTTATGGTCTCTAGGTTCTTCGTCTAGAACCTCACTTGCAGAGATTAATGCATAAGCTATAAGATCTGCATACCTAAGTCTCTGATGTGGCTTGATGACTCTTCTCGTCCTATCTATTGACAATAGGTAGTCATCAACAGTTTCCTCAACTTCCTCAACATCTTCTGCTTCTTCTTCGACTTCATCTAGGATACGCAATTCAGCATCAACATGCTCCAACTCAACAAGAATCTCCACCTGTTCCAGCTCTTTGTCATATATTTTTGCTCTTCGACCAACATCATCAGTTTTCTTGAAAGCTATTTCAGCTTCATTGAAAACTACATCTCGATTGGTGATACTCCTCTTGTGACCTGGCTCTAGGCACTATAACCTATAAGCTTTGTCTCCTTCAGGGTATCCCATGAACATATATTTTAGAGCTCTAGGTTCGACCTTTTATTGTCTAATATGAGCATAAGCTACACAACCAAATACTCTTAGTTTATGGAGATCTGGTGGATGTCCCGACCAAACTTCTTCAGGTGTCTTCATATCTAATGTAGTCGAATGACATCTATTTATCAGATATGTTGCTGTCAAAACATCATCAGCCTAAAACACCTTCTTTAACCCAACACTAGTCAACATGCATCTAACTCTCTCCAAAATAGTTCGATTAAACCTTTCAGCCAAACCATTTTGTTGTAGAGTACCTGCAATAGTTTTGTGCCTTGCAATACAAGAGGCATCACAAAAGTTGTCAAAAACCTCATTGAAAAATTCAAGGCCATTGTCGATTCTCAGCCTCTTGACCTTTCTGCCAGTATGATTTTCGACCAGAGTCTTTCAACTTTTGAAATTCTCAAAAGTTTCATCCTTAGTCTTCTAGATGAATACCCATAACTTTCTGGAATAATCATCTACTATGAATATAAAATACGTTGCTCCTAAATGTGATGGACACCTTGCAGACCCCCAAAGATCAGCATGGATGTAATCAAGGGATCCATGTGTTCTTTTCTTTCCTTTGTTGAACTTCACTCTACAAGATTTTCCAAGTACACATGGTTTACAAAATTTCAGCCTTTTGACTTTGTCTCCTCCAAGAAAATTTTGTTTCCCTATTCGACCAGAGCCCTTTCACTGACATGGGCCAATCTCATGTGCCAAATTTATGTCTTAGGCAAAGGTTTCTTGGATGCAACATTTGTCGAATCACTTACAACTTCAGTCTCAAGGGTATACAAACCTTGCTTCTTAACGCCTCTCAGGACTTCCTTCGACCCTATCATGACTCGTAGGATATTTTTTTTCTCTTTGGAAAACATATCCTTTCTTGTCAAAATCACCAAGAGAAATCATTTCTCTCCAAATCAGGGTCATACCTGACTTCAGTCAATAATCTTTTTAACTCAACATGGAGCTTGAATCTCACATATCCAACACCTGTAATCTTACAAGCTTTGTTGTTTCCCAGCAATACAGATCCACCATCTTGAACACCTAGTTCC